AGGAGACCAGGAGGCCACTGAGACCAGGAGGCCACTGAGACCAGGAGGCCACTGAGACCAGGAGACCACTGAGACCAGGAGACCAGCAGGCCACTGAGACCAGGAGGCCACTGAGACCAGGAGACCAGCAGGCCACTGAGACCAGGAAGCCACTGAGACCAGGAGACCAGGAGGCCACTGAGACCAGGAGACCAGGAGACCAGGAGACCAGGAGGCCACTGAGACCCGGAGGCCACTGAGACCAGGAGGCCACTGAGGCCCGCAGACCCTGAGGCCAACCACGTGGCCTAGTCACTGAAGTGTGCTGTCTACAGTCAACAGTGTTTGGGTGAGTCATGTTCGCGACTTTCTCTGTGCCCATAAGTGACCTGTCCAGGCAGCCCTTCCACATCCCCATGGTGCTGGGCCGGGACCCTAGCGGCAGGCAGACCTGTGAGTCACAAGGGGGACTCCTCCCCAGGCTGGCCTGCCCCCCGCAGCTCCTCCAGCTCCAGGGGATGGCTCTGGGCCATCAGGGGACAGGGTCTGCAGTACCAGTAGTTCTGGACCCCCACCGGGCTCTGCGCGGCTGCAACTGGCAGTGTGCCCGGGCCTCTGCACGCAGTTCCCTGTCGCGGGCCCTCCTCACAGGCACCGTTGTGAGCCCAACGACCAACAGGGGCCCTGCGGGTGCTGGGCAGGAGCTGACCAGAACCAGAGACAAGCGCACAGAAGCCAGAGGCTGGAGAGACCCCCGCGGGCGCTCCTGCAGCTCTCAGCACGGGGCACCGCTGCTCATCAAAGCCGAAGCCACCCGCCTGCGTTCCCATGTGCTGCCCTCGGGGACGCCAACTGCCCCGACGCAGCACAGGCTCCCGCTGCTGGAGACGAGTTCTGGACGAGCCGGAGCCACCTCAGCCGGAGGAGGAGGGGACGGGCTGGGCAGAGCGCGAGAGTGGGAGGCCCTGGTCTGGGAGGGCTCGGGACACAGCTGGGCCACAGCTGCAGCCCAGTCTGCTGGCCCCTTGAGGCTCCGCCCCGAAGGTCCCAGAGGGTCCCCATCATCCTGCCTGGCCTTGAAGGACAGCTCAGCCTAGTCTGGGCGGGACCACCAGGCCCGGGTGGTCCCTGGGAGGGCTCTGCTGCAGGCCAGCAAGGGGCCAGCATGGCACGAGGCAGCTGGGGCCACCCTGAGGACAGGAAGGGGAAGGGGTGGGGGGCTCAGGACACGGGGCCTGGCTCCGCAGGTCTAGAAGGGGAGGGCTGCTGCCGATCTGAGACTGGCCCTAGAGCAGGGACAGCCCAGGGCCCAGGACGTGCCCCTCTGCCCCTCCTGTCAGGGCAGGGGGTGTCCTCTCTCCAGGTCTGCACTCAGAGACAGCACCGCCCACAGGCCTCACTGCTGGCCTGGCTGCTCCTCTTGTCCACCTCTAAAAGGGACAAGGCCAAGACCAGGGCCATCTCCTCATTGCCCAGGATGGTCTACCCTGTCATTACAGACCCCAGGACAGTCCACTCTGCCCCTTAGTCCCCAGGACACTCCATCCCGGGCCCCTGCCCTACCTGGCCCACTCCTTGAGGTCCCTGAGGGACAATGAGTGTCCTTCTCGAAGAGTCACCACAGCTGTGACCCGCTGGCCCCATGTCACATCTGGAATCCCAATCACGGCCACATCTGGAACAGAAGGTCAGGCTGGGACACCTGGGAAGTCCCCAGTGACTGCGCGGGTCAAGCAGCAGCGGGGCCTCGCAGAGAAGGTGGACGGCAGCCCAACCACGTCCAGGCTCTGGAAAGCCCCACTGGCTACCCTCGGGTGTGAGGACGGCTCCGCGTGCTGTCTCCGGGGTCTGCCTCCCCATACTGCCCTGCAGACCGCGTGTGCACCTCGTCACCTGGAAGCCAAACTGGGGTTCGGTGGGCGGTAGCTCAGGCCCGGCCCCAGCCTGTGTCCTGGTGAAGGTGCACTTCAGGGGGCACCTGGTTGGCAGCAGGAAGGACCCCCCTGCCACGAGCAGGGAAAGGTCCCCGAGCAGCTGGCAAGTGCTCACCTGCGATGCTGGGGTGGGCCAGCAGGTTCCGCTCCACCTCCAGGGCGCTGACTTTGTAGCCTCCGGTCTTGATGATGTCCACTGAGGTCCGGCCTCGGATCCAGTACTTGCCATCCTTGAACACAGCAGTGTCCCCTGAAAAAGTGGGCTCTGTGACATCCCCAGGGCAACCTGGGTGCGCCGAGTCCCCAGGAGAAAACCCTGGGGCACCTGTGGACACCTTGGCCACCAGCCCCTGGCACCCATCACTCACATCTCTCCACTGTCCTGCCCTCTGCCTGGGGGACCGTGGACACGGCCCCCACAGGGTCAAGCCAGTGCCCACAACATGCCCGGAGCCAGGGGGATCAGGCCTGTGACACCCTGCGCTGCAGGCTGCACGTGGGCCTGTCCCTGCCACTGCCATCAGTGGTGACCGGCCACTGTTAGTGAGGGGCCTTTCTGCACACGGCAGCACACCAGCTTGGCAGCTGACCCTGAGCAGGAGGTGTGAGGAACAGCCCTGACACTGACCCAGCCTTGTGCAGTCAGACGAGAGCTGTGAAGCCGTCAGAGCCTGGCTAACCCACGTCGCCCTTCTGGCCTGTTGTGGGCCCCTGAGGACATCCCCGCCTGGTGCTGGGTGTGAACAGGCACATCCCAGACAGACCTCCTGCAGGGTCACTGCCACGCTTCCCTGACGAGGGGGGTCCTCCCGCCCTCGCCCCTGACCTCTGCCACCTGAAACAGCCAGCCACTCACTTGTTCCTCCCCAGGATCCCATGACCACTGAGATCTGGATGCTCAGCCTCAGGGGCAGTGGGGCCGGGTGCAGGGCCAGTGGAAGGCTGCGCCCTGCCCAGGCGGCTTCCTGGGTGGGGGACGCTGTGTGTCTGCAGATGCATGTTGCCCCCAGTCTGCACAGGCTCCCCTCCCCGGGGCCATGAATGTCTCACAGCACGTCACTGCTGACCCCAGTACCATCCACCTCCTGCCAAGTTTGTGACCTGCAGCTTGGGGCGTGCTCCCATCTACCAAGCAAGATGGACGGGTGCCAGAGGGGCTCCAGGCTTGTTCATGGAGGAGGCGGGCCTGGAGGCCTCCAGTGCGGTGGCTCTGCACTGAGGGAGGCATAGGAGCTGTGGGTGGCCTCCTGCTTGTCCTGGGACAGCCTGCCTGTGGGCACTGGCCAGCAGGAAAGGATGCAGGGTGGGCTGAGGGGATGGTGGACACACCCCGTCCTGGGCTTGTTCCTGCCCCCAGTTCCACAGTAGCCTGGCTCTAGCCATGCCCTTAGGACCAGGCGGCCTCCCTGGTGACTGAACCCAAGGGTGCTCTGCCACCAGGCCACACCCGCCCCTTTTCTTTTTTTTTTGGGGGGGGGGTTACTGGGGATTCAACCCAGGGGTAATCTACCACTGAGCTACATCTCCAGCCCTTCTTATTTTTTCTGAGACGAGGTCGTGTTCAGTTGTTGAGGATGGCCTTGAATTTGCGATGCTCCTGCCCCAGCCTCTAGTCACTGGGATCCCAAGCATGGCCACTTGCTGGTCGATGGCTTTCCTCAGCACACCAATGCCCCAGTGCTGGCTCTCCTGCCCCAGGGCTGCATCCTCAGGCTGCCCACTGTCCAAGGGAGGTGCTGCCTGGCACTGGGGTCCCTGCAGGTAGGTTTCTGACCCAGCTCCCCTGGGCCTCTAGTCACCCCGATGCCAGTGTGGGGCAGTGCGTGGGGGAGCCATTGTCCTGCCCTGGACTTGGCCTCCCTGGATGTTCCTCCTGCCCCCGAGGCCCCACCTACACCTCCCCGTGAGGTCCTGACTCTCCTGGTGCCCTCTGCTGAGCCCCTGGGTAAAGACAGTCTGGCACACACAGGCTCCCGAGGGCCCCACACTCCACTCACCCGGGCTGTGAGGGGCTCTGGGCCTTCCCTCTGCCCTCTGGGGGTGCCCCACACTGCCAGCGCCTGAGATTCCGCCTCTCACTTCTGAGACCAGGCACGTGGAGGTTTGGGGATGGGCAGGTGGATATCCCCAGGGAGGAAATGCCTTGGGATCAGGGAGGAGAGGCCCTGTGTGGGGAAGGACCAGGACAACACTCTACACCGAGGGACAGAGGGGGCGGCAGCACAGGACAGGGATGAGGGCGGGCGCAGGTGACGTAATAAAGGAATTGGGGACGCTCAGGACTCAGCTCTGCAAGGCACCTCCTGGCCCTCAGGAGCAAGGGCCGCCTGGTCCACGGCTCGGGCCATGACGGGGCGCACCTTGTTGGAGTCAGTGGGAGGAAGGAGTCAGGCATCAGCCTCAAAGCCTCCGAAGACCCCAGAATTCAGAAGCTGAGGGAGAAGGCAGCCTGATGGCAGGGCTGAGCCTGTGGGTTTCCCTGGACATGCCCTGCAGCGCTGGCCAGGAGCCAGAGGAGGGCCATGAAGGCCACATGCAGCCTGGACACTGCGGTGCTACCGAGCAGGGCCCTGGGACGCGCACTGTGCGCCGCGGCCAGGCCAGGCCGGGAGTGGGGCGGCAGCTCTGCCTGGAGCTGGAGTTGGGGAGCAGCAGGAAGCCCAGTGACTGGGTCAGACCCTCTACTGACCTCTCAGGCACCTGCGAGGTCCTCTGCCCTGCCATGGGTCACGCTGGGCCTTCTGCAGACCTGTCCCCAGTGTGTACACCCTGAGGTCACAGGGTCACAGCTTCCCATGGCTGGCAAGACACTCTGTGCCAACCTGCCCCGTGCCTCTCGCTGCCCAAGCATGTGCCTGGCCTCCACTGACCCCGTCTGGAGACTCAGCTACACTCTGTGGCTGGTGACCCGCCCTGGTGACCATGCAGGGCAAGCAAGTGCTGGACTCTAAGCGCGGCTCAGGCCGGCGACCCTCGGCGACCCTCGCCCACACGGCTGCAGCCTCAGGCGACAGCTGGACTTCCCAGTTCTGCTGAACGGCCAGGTCACTGTGGGGTCAGACGTGGAGCTGGGGCCTGGCCTGGGGTCTCCTGAGTAGGGCTCAGGCTTTCTGGAGCAATTCCTTGGCTGTGGGCAGGGGCAGGGTCTCAGAAGAGGTGGCTGCTGGGCTCTTTCCAGGCCACCTGCCCTCGGGTTGGGGACGGGGTGGCCTGCAGTGACAGGTAGCACACATCTCTGCCGTGGTCAGAGGGTGCTTGGGCTGGAGGTGTGGCCGGGACCTGTGCTGGTGCCCATACCTGGGCTCTCTGCTCTCGCGTGATAGCTCTGTGGGGTGGCGCGCCCCCCTGGAAGGGCGCAGCTGCTGCTTACATAGCCAGACAGGTGCAGGACCAGGCTTCCTGTTGCCCACTGAAGAAATCCCATGTCCTCTGGGCCTGCAGGCCGGGGGCTCCACCTGGGTCCATGCTGCCCACAGAGGTCACGCTCCTTTCTGCCCGGCACACGTGGAGCCTTGGCCCAGATGCCCGCTCCTGCGGCCGTGGCTGGGTCTCGGGAAGCCTGGGGCCACCGTCTGTCTGCAGGGACTCCCCTGTGGTCTCCTCCCGGCCTGAGCTTCTCCGGGGGAACTTCCCATGCAGAGCCCCCACCTGCTGACAGGACAGGTGCCAAGCAGAACCTCACTCCCAGCCCAGGTCTTGGTGGGCCCAATGGTGCTGGCCATGGCCTCCACAGGTCTGCACTCACCATGGCTCCGGGCAAGAGCACAGGGTGAAGGTCCACAGCACACTGCAGACTGACACAGGCCAGGGCAGCAGTGGCCTAGCAGCCAGCCACACGCTACAGGGTGAAAACGCAGGGGGACCTGCACGTGGTGCCCACAAGCCTCCATGTGCCGCCACTCAGCTCGGTGCTGGGGGTCAGGGCTGCTCTCTGCAAGAGCAGATGCCTCCATCCTCTCCCTGAGCAGGGCCCTGCCCCACCACCCCTCACGCACCCCTGTAACTATGCTGGGACCTGGGACACTCACTGTCCACTCCCTACCCTGGCTGGCTACACACAAGAACAGGATTCATGGTTTTAAGATCCCACCCACCCTGCTGCAGCTACACTGGCAGGGACCCTCTCTCCTGAGCCCAGGTCACTCTTGAATGAGCCCCGGAATGAGCTGCCATTTGCCCACGGCACCAGCCAGGCAGAAGCCTACTACAGGCTCCCAGCTCCTGGGCTCACCCGCTGCCTGGGCGACAGGTAAGCGTCGGGGTCCTCTGAACAGCCTGGGTGCAGTGAGTCTGGAGAAGCTCAGGGGACTTATTCCAGGGACCCTTCTGTCCCTGACTGCACAGACATGGAGACCGTGGGGGCCTGTGGGGAGCCCCTTGCACATTCCCAGGGCAGAGACGTCCCGGCGGACCCATGGAGGCCGCTGAGGAGCTGGCAGACTGGCCCTTCCCCAGCACGGTGACAGCAGGAGGGGCTGGCCAGGGAAAGGGTTAAGTCTAACCTTCCCTGATTTCCACTTAGCATCAGCTCCCTGCAGGAGCGGCAGCTGCGAGCTGACTGAGGCTCTCGTTATGCAGGCTGCATCACTAATGGCCTGTGACAAAGGCGTGCGCCCCCAGGCCTCACCCCCAAGAGCAGTGAGCCCAGGCGGAGGCTCCCTTCCTGTCTGCGGTACACCAAGTGAAACTGAGCTGAGTTTGAAATCACCTTCTCCATGGACACCGCTCCAACGACCAGCCTGCGCTGCTCCTCTCATGCCACCAGGGCACTGGGCCCCTCCTCTCAGCTGGACACCCTGTGCATGTCACCCAGAGGTGACACGGGTGTCCCGGCCTTGGCAAAACCTACACTGTTGGGTTCCTATGCTTTTAAGTGGGGGGAAAAGAACAAACCCACAGCTTTTGTCTTCATTTTAAAATAAAGGGAATGAAACCAAAAGAGGTGACCATGAGCCAGCCAGGGCCTCCGCGGGGCTGCATGGGCTCGGCCCTGGGGACGTGGGCGGTTCAGAAGCAGAGTTCCCTGTGGCCACTGAGGGATGATCAGGGCAGGCTGGTGTCCACCAGAAAGCTCGCCCAGTGGGAGGCTCCGAGGGGCCCGCGGGGCACATAACAAGCTAACCACAGCTGGCGACTCCCGACCTCTGACGCCCGGCAAGGTGGTCCGTGTGGAGCCTGCCCAGGGGCAGCAGCCTGTTCTGGGCTCATGAAAGGCTCACCCCTCACATCTCCAGCACCCCGCAGGCCTGCCCACAGCACGCCTAGCCCTATCCTTGCCCATCTGTGGAGCTCTCTGTGGCTCTCTTGTGGCCTCCCTCCCAGCCTCAGTGGGGCCAGAGTCACTGGGAGAGGACGGGAAGGTGACTGAGAGGTGAATGGCCAGAGCCAGTGCATGGCCCCAAAGGCCCCAGGTGCTGGGGGGCAGGGGCAGCTCCTGGGTGTCCCTGCTCCTCAGCAGGGAGGACCCTCGTCTGAAATTTCACCCGGGGTTGTCTCAACTGCACTTGCACCTCCAGGTGGCTGAGTCCTCGTCTTCTGTGACCCAGTGACTCGGGCCCCCAGGGTGCTGGATCCTGTGGCCTCCTGACCATGTGGGTCTGGTGGGCTGAGAAGCTCTGCTTCCAGGGTCGTTGGGGCCACCAGGCTGAGGGCTACGCTCGTGAGGCCACGGGCCTCCTCCCTACCTCTCTCAGACGCACAAGACCTGCCCTGCCTGACCCGCTAGCCCCCAAGAGCAAGGAATAAGCCCCTTTGTCACAGAGGCCAGCAAACTGCAACGTGGGAAAACGGCTTTTTGGAAAAATGTTGCCTTAAGAATTACAAAATGAACACGTTCACACTAAAGGCAGGCGAAGAGGAAAACTACCCAGCGCCCACCGAAGGCAGGGGCTCCTCCTGTGTGTGTCCTCCTGCCAAAGCCACACTGCCACCAGGGCACACCCATACCTGCCGTGTCCTGCAGGACTCTGGATCCCGGGCCAGGCCTGCTTCTCACAGAGGAGGCAGGACGGAGGTGGGCGGCTGCTCAGCGCTGGGTGGTGTCTCAGGAGAAAGGACGCCACACTGGCCCACAACCCGAGCTGCAGGACAGGCCACTGGGCAGAGGGACTTGGTGGGGGGCAACAGGGCAGGACCACATAGAGCACCATAGTGGCCCTGACTGAGGTGGAGGACTCACAGGCAAGGCTGTGGCCGGACAGGGGCCGCAGGACCACTCGGAAGGAGCGTGTGGGGCTAGGCCACTGGGCGTGCACACGCATGTGCCAGAGGACAGAGGGCGTTGTGTGGCGGGCTCTGTCTCCTGAGGGATGTCAGCCTGAGGACCCTCTTCTGGGAGCTGGGGGAAGCTGGGTACTCAGGCACAGGACAGCAGCCCACCAGGTGGCCCCAGCCCCTGCAGAGCTGGCCCTACCTGTCTTAAACCAGCCGTCCGAGGTGAATGCACTTCTTGTCTCTTCTGGTTTGTCCCAGTATTCTCGGAACACAGAGGGTCCCCTGACCAGCAGCTCCCCTTCCTTCTCTTCAAACCCCGGGGACACCTGCAGAAGGTGGGAGGGACGGGCAGGTCGGACTGGGCACACTCCCTTCGGAGAGGGTCTCCCCTGCTGTGGACCTCCCATCCCGGCCCAGGTGCTTTTTGGAATTAGACACGTTGTTGAAAAACACAGCCCTCTGTGGAGAGAGCTCAGTCCCGCCAGGGCCACTCTCCTGCCCTGCCCTTGCCCAGCCCGGGACCACCTCATTAGTCCCCAGGCAGCGTGCAGCTCTCCAGATCTGGAGACGGGACTGGCCCAGGCTCAGCACTCAGGGCCCCAGCTGGACGTGAGCTGCCTGTCCACTTCTAAAGGCTGTGCCAAATCCCACCCCAGGGCACGTCTCAAACTAAACTCCTGTCCAGGGCTGCTGGAGTGGCTCAGGGGTGCAGCATTCTGGAGCTGGGAGCTATGCTTTTAAGTCAAACCGCAAACACTATTTAAACTTGCTGATTTCCCTCTGCTGGCCTGGATGTGTTCCATTGCTGTGGACAGACTGGCGCCGGGTGGTACACCTGAGACAGGTGCACACAAAGCTGACCCCAGAGAAGGCAGGCTGGGACTTGCGGATTTTAGCCAATAAGAACACTATTTTTATAGGTGCAAATGAGACCCATAATCTCATAACATAAGGTCCAGAATGTCCAGGAGTCAGCACACAAAGGACCAGGAAGCATCAGCAAGTGGGAGACGGAGGCGGCACAGAGGTGGGAACTGCCTGGCAAAGACCGTACAGCACACGGGATGAGAATGCTCCACAAATGAAGGACCACACTCTGGAAATGGATCAAACAGCCAGAACGTCTCAGCAAGGACATGAAGATGTAAAGCAGGAGTAGGGCCATGGATGGCTCCCACACAGAACAGACCCCCAGGAGGGGACCGGGAACCGAAGGGCGCAGTGGAGAGGGGCCAGCATGACCGCAGCAGCCGTCCTTCGGGTGGTGCCCAGCGGGCAGCTCTCACTCCTGGAAAAATGGCAGAGGAGAGCTGGGGAGGAAAAAGCAAGAGGTTGGGCGAAATCTGGGTAGAATCCCCAAATCTGGTGAGAACATAAATCTGTGGATTCAAGAACCTTAGAGGATCCCAGGTAGGGCAAACCCCCAGAAGTACACGTCTGCATATACCTGATCCAATTATCAACGACTCAAACTAAAGACAAAGAGAGAATCTTGATGGCAGTCAGAAAAAGACAATGCTTTACTTTTTTGTGGGTGGGTGTGGTCCTGGATTAACCCCGGGGCACTCTACCTCTGAGATCCATGGTCAGCTCTGTTTTATTTTCACACGGGGTCTCAAGGTTGCCCGGCTGGTCTTGAGTGGACCCTCTTGCCTTGGCCTCCCAATCACTGGGATCACATCACACCTGGTGAAGCTATAGTTTTAAAGCTCTAAAAGAAAATAATTATGAACCCAGAATTCCAAATCCAGGAATACGGACGGAGAGAGACAAGAGAGTGTGCTGCAGGCAGACCTGGTCTCCAGTAACGCCGAAGACTGTACTCAGACACGGAACGCAGCAGCAGGAGACTTGGGGCATCAGGGATAAAGCACAAGCAACAGAAAATGAACATCTGGGTGCAGCAACAGGACTCAGCCTTGCCTCTTGAGTTCTCTGCACTTCTGAGGCTGAAAGCACACTTTAACACTTTCTAGCACAGTCATGCCTGAAGCTGCCACGGACAAGTGTGGGGTGCTGTGGCCTGCAGGTGGCAAGGCTCTACAGTTTTCTGGAAGCATGATGCTGTTGATTCCAAGTAGGCTGCGGAAAATGAGCAACTACACTCTTATCCCCGAAGCCCAGAAATGAAAAACTGTTGAGAGCCACAGCCGAAGGGCCCCAGCAAACTTTCAGACTGCCAGCTGATGATTGGCTCACAGCTCCCCAGCAACTTCTAGCTGATTGGCTCCTCTGCGGTGATGCTCATTGGGCTGTTTCCCCGCCCTTTCAGACTACGGAGCTGCTCATTGGGGCACTTTTTTTGGCTCCGCCCACGCGACCCAGCCAATCGGCCTCAAGAGCAGGAGGAGTGGGGGAGGTGGAGAGGCTTGTGGGAAGCCGGTGGTGGCAGTTGGGCTCTGAGGGTTTTTCCTGAGGAGCTGTTTTGTTTGGCGTGTGTGGTTCTAAAAATAAAGTTCGTTTCTTTTGACAAGTGGCTCCTGAATTGTGCCCAGCCAGACTGCGGCAAAAAACCCAGGGCAAAACAATAAACAGGATAAAGTGGCAGGCTTGAATTCGAGCCCATCAGAAATCACACTAAACGTAAATGGTCTAAACACACCAGTTAAGTGACAGAGCTTGTCAGGCTGGACTGAAGAAATACCTTGACCAATCACATGCTGTCTATGAGAAATTTACTTCAAATACAATCATGGTGGGATAGAATCATACATACCATGCAAACACAAAACGGAAACTAAAATGGCTATATTAACACCAGACAAAATAAATCCAATAGCCAAGGACATTTCTAGGAGCACCACCTGTTGGTGAAAGGGCCAACTTGCTAGGAAGACCTAATGACTGCAAATGTGTGTGTATCAAGCAAGACTTTCAAAACACATGGGCAAAGATAGACAGTTACAGCTGGAGACTCCACAACTCTTCACTTTAGTCATAGAACAAGCAATGAGGAAACCCAAGAAGTGCAGAGCGGAGCTGTGCCAGCCACCACCTTTCCAACGTGAGCAGCGCACTTCAACCAGGCCCAGCAGATCACACTTCCTCACTCACACCAGATCTGCCACCAAGAGAAAGCACACTCTGGGCCACGGAAAACACCTCAACAAATTTAAACATAATGAAACCATACCATGTAGGCATTCTGACTGCAATGAAATTAAACTAGAAAATCAATACTGGATAACAGAAAAATCACCAAGCATTCAGAAAAAAACACGAGACACTCTAAGTAATCCATGGCCAAAAAAGAAAGTCTTAAGGAAAATTTAAAAATATTTTGAATTGAATGAAAATGAAAATACACCCTATTGAAATCTGAGGGATGCAGCTAAAGCAGTGGTTGGGGGAAAACTCATAGAATCAAATGCATCTATTAGTACAGAGGAAAGGTCTCAAATCACCAGAAGAAGCTAGAAAAAGAGAAAAACAAGCCAAAATCAAATTGAAGAAGTGATCCAAGGTAAGAACAGAAGTGGGTAAGATTGGAAAGAGAAGAACAACAGGAGGGGGAAAAATTCAGTGAACCCAAAAGTAGTTCTCTGGGAAAACATCAAAGCAATGAAACATGAACTTCCACAGAAATAAGAGAGAAGACTCAGAGCATCAGCAAGTGGAGGGAGAGGAGCGCTGGACACACATAGTCCACAACGGGGTGGACGCCGGTTCCGCAAGCCCACTCCCAGACGCAGCCAAGACACAAGAGGTGACAGAACGGGCTAGGGCCACACTCTGCGTAACAACTCATAGCTAAGAGCCTCATAAAAGAGAGCTCCAGGCCGAGTGGTTGCCCTGGTGTCAGCAGAGCACCACCATCCCGCACCAGGCCCTGCAGAGGCAGAAGAGGAGGGACGCTCCCCGCAGTGTGAGGCCAGGCACAGAGAGCACAAGACCAGGGAAGCACAGGCCACGTCCCATGAAGGCCAAGGCCTCAGCAAAGGTCAGCACAGGGCGCCACGCTGGGCTGCGCATGCGACCGTGGCCCTGATCACAATGGAGCTGAGAACTGCCCAGGGCCAAGTCAGGGCTACGGTGCTGCAGCCTGGGTGCGGCCCAGGCATGCGGAGGAGCTGTGGAAATGGCCCTGCACGGTTCCTGAGACCAGGACAGCCAACGGTGCCTGCTGTCTGCACCACGCTTCTCATCTCTACTTCAGAGCCTCCCGCTGAAGGACAACACTGTCACCAGGGAAGTGACGGCCTTCTGGTGGGACAAGGCATGCAGCAGAAGACAGAGACCTGGTGCACAGGCCTCCACTGACATGCACACTGTGTTTTGGCTTATAACAAAAAAGTTTAAAAAGCAAAGACAAAACTAAACAGGAAAAAGTGTTACAGAATTAGGATATAAAGACAGTATTTCTATGCAGCCATACAATGTTGTGTCTTAAGCTAAGGGTTCATACAAATGGGTCAGACAGCTAAAAAAAAAAAGTTGCAAAGTAAAAATGTTACAGTAAACTAAAGTTAACTTATTATGGAAGAAAGTTGTGTTTTTTTTAAACCCACTGCAGCCTACGTGTGCAGTGGAGCGACTTCCACTCCTACAAGCTCCATCCATGGTAAGTGCTTTCTTAAACCTTTTATACCACCCTTTTGCTGTACCTTTTCTGTATTAGATATGCTCAGATACATGACTGCCCACAGCTGTCAGCACAGCGACACGCTGTTCCAGGCCGTGACCTAGGGCAGCCCAGGTGTGCGGCAGGCTTCCCCTCCCTCCAGGATTTTACATCACAACAAAACTGCTTGATGATACCTTGTTGGAGGGACCATCATTAAGGACACACACCCACTATAACAAAAGTGGTACACCTGGGGACACAGGCTGGTTCCACATCAGTGTGACCCCTGGTACCAACAGCCTGATGGAGAAAAGCCAACTGAGTGTCTTCAACATCCCTGTGTGATCAACAAGCCCAGCACGTCATACACAGAAGGAAACCTACTAGAAAGCCTGTAGCTAGCATCACACTTGATGAAGATCAGGAACTAGATGAGGATGTCCACTTCACTACTCTTGTTGGGCTTGGTGCTGGAGGTCAGTCATGGCAACAAGGCAGAAGAGACAAACGCGAGGCTGCACGGGGCAAGGCAAGTAGGACTGCACCCGGGGTCCCCCAGGTTACTCACCAACACTCCCGAGGCTGACCAGAGGACCACCAAGTTACCAGAGGAAGACAGACTAGCTGCACAGGCACAGACAACTACTAGCAACAACTAGAAACGGAGAGACTCCCCTCTTACAAAAGTTGAAAAAGAAGAAAAGCAGGAAAAAACAAAAGAAGAAACATTCATTTATGTGTAAATCTAACAAAACATACAGC